GAATGAAACAATTAAGCGTATATTGTTGTAGAAATAATTTAATAAGGCCATTAAAGATTCCGAGAAAATATTCAATAAAAGAAACTTATTGTAATCGGAATCGTTAATTTATTCACTTTTATAGTACACTGCCAGTATTCAAATTATCTATACAAGTAAATAGAACTTGATAAATTGTATTGAAAGATTGTAAGATATATATATTATATTAATAAAATAAATTATTCTAAAACTTGTTACAGAGATAATTTGATAAAACCATTAAATATCCAGACAAAAAATTCAACAAAACAATGTTATTGCAATCGTGAAATTATATGATTTTATAGCTTATTTTATGAGTTATTCATTAAGTGTGTGCAAAAGTTCTTAGCTCCCTTCTTTAACTAGGGACTGAATACACAATAGAAAAACTTATTTTTGTAATTAAAAAACAAAAAAATAGAAAAAATAAACTAATACCTAATAAAAAAGAATTTGGACAAAGAATAACAAAAATGTACAAGTTTTATATAACAATAATAATAATAATAATAATAATAATAATAATAATAATAGCAACCAAAGTTAATCACCATTACAACGTTATTAGAGACCGCAAAAAAATACTTCCTTATTGATATGGTAGTCCCTGCAGACTGTAATGTATCTTTGAAAATCTTCAAAAAGCTATCAAAATACAAGGACCTTGAAATCGAAATCTCAAAAATGTGACTTATGGGAACATCAACAAACTCTGTTGTAGTTGGAGCCCTCGGATTGGTTGGAAATGATTCCAGTAGACTCATTGAACGGATTCCTGGAAGATCATGCCTTAAAGAAATACAAAGAATTGTTCTCATGAGTACAGCCCAGATGTTACGAAGGGATTTATCTATGAAAAATATGTTTCTTTTTTTAAATTGGTCAGTGGAAAATGTCATGATGCCATTTCTGACCTTAGGTCTCTGGACGGGACCCGGAAAGAAATGATTACACACCAGAAATGAAAGGAAATAATAATAATAATAATAATAATAATAATAATAATAATAATAATAATAGACTCCTTGCGTCACAAACACCCAAGGTTTTGGGGGAGTTTTCATTACAAACAGAGAAGAAACTGAAGCAAAAGAAACCCTACTGTGGTGAAAGATAACATAGAAAAAAGACACGTTAAGCAGTGATCCATCGTGTCTTTTTCATCCAAGGATAGAAAAAAAAGACACGTTAAGCAGTGATCCATCGTGTCTTTTTCATCCAAGGATAGAAAAAAAAGACACGTTAAGCAGTGATCCATCGTGTCTTTTTCATCCAAGGATAGAAAAAAAAGACACGTTAAGCAGTGATCCATCGTGTCTTTTTCATCCAAGGATAGAAAAAAAGACACGTTAAGCAGTGATCCATCGTGTTTTTTTTCATCCAAGGATAGAAAAAAAAAGACACGTTAAGCAGTGATCCATCGTGTCTTTTTCATCCAAGGATAGAAAAAAAGACACGTTAAGCAGTGATCCATCGTGTCTTTTTCATCCAAGGATAGAAAAAAAAGACACGTTAAGCAGTGATCCATCGTGTCTTTTTCATCCAAGGATAGAAAAAAAAGACACGTTAAGCAGTGATCCATCGTGTCTTTTACATCCAAGGATAGAAAAAAAAGGGAAGAAAAGGAACTAATCAATCATGATCCATGGACTAGCAAGGCTTTGGAAATCGAAGAAGGTCAATATCATACCAGTAGCCATTGGTTCACTTAGTACAGTGATTGACAGGATGGAGGCATGAAAAAAGAAAATCGGTATTGATTTTCCAGTGGAACTATGGCAGAAAGGAAGCATCTTAAGAATGGCAAGAATAATTCGGAAAGTGATGAATTCTGAGAGACAGAGGAAAATTGTATGATACCTAAAACTACCAGATATAAAAATCTTATATAAGAAAATACTGACAATCATTGTGATTTGATCATAGCATCGAGATATTTGCACAAAGCCAGAATCTTGCTTACAGAATAAAATATACATAAAGTTTTTGGAGGACTTTGTGATTCAAACGAATCACCCAATCTAACAGAAGTTCGGGTCTAGTTTATCGTAAGAAAAAAAATAAGTCAAATTGTAGATATTGCTGTAACAAGAGATCACAGAATGAAAAGCCATAAAATAATATCTACACCTGACGCTCGAACAGAAAATTGTCGAATATGGTGGTGACAATTGTGGTCACCATCGATTACGCACTTGAAACAGTTGTTAAGAGCTCAACGAAAATAGTGGAAAATTGGAACTGCAGTTTACTAGTGGTTACTATTAATGTGAAAGTTCAAAAAGTGCTAATAATAACAATGAACAAATAATGTTAACGAGAGTGTTAGAATCTTGGAGAAATTTCCTCTTATTTCATTGCTAGTGAGAACAACCAAGTACTGCTTCTAATTGCCGTGTCCCTTTAGGACTTGAGCAATCATGGCTCTCTACATCTTCCTATCTTCCATAGCTCTTATCAAGTCCAGTCCTCCCAGTCCCTGTTCTTTCATCCATTTACACAATTAGGTATGTTACTCACTGCTTCTCTCTGTCTCTTTTGCTTTCAGTATGTCCTGAGAGTGTCAAACTTTCCAAGCGTTCTGTCCTCATTATTATAGCAATTTCAATTGTCTCTTTCTGATTCTAAGTATAAGTTTCGTTTTGGTTTTTATTTTCCTTAAATATTACTCATTGCTTACATGTTCTGCCCATGGTATTCCCAGCATCCTTCTGTAGACCCCATCACTTTTGCCTCAAGTTTTCTCTCCATCTATGAGAAAACTGTCCAGTATCTACTCTCATATAACACGACTAATATTACATAGCAGTTCAGCACTGTTTTATTTATTTCTAAAAATGTTTATTAATAATTTGTCTAGATTTTGGAAAGCAAATATAAACAGATCTACATCTATGTTTCGATTGAAATTTATAAAATCTTTCCCATGAAACAATTTTTCAGAAAAACAGATTTCTCAAGTTCAATAGTTGTTATCGCTCTTTCCAGTATTGGTTGAGGGGGGGGGGTCTTCCTAACCTTTTAGTTGAAGTAGTGTGGAATATTAATTGATTATATCATTATTTTCGCTTCGAATTACATGTGCTATCCATTTTAGTTGTTGCTGCTGTTGGTAGTCCTCAAGTGATGTGGTTTCTGTTATTTGTTACAGTTCTTTGTTTATGATTCTGTAGCGCCAGTCTACAATGTTCAAAAAACGATGATCTTTGCTAAGGACCCCAGGTTTCACTCGCTCAAAGCCTTTTTTTTTCACCATTGATCTTAGGAATCGGTTGTATACAGTTGTCAGTTTAGATATGTATGTGTGGGTTTGGCGTCATGCATGACATTCATATGAAAATCTCAATCTGACAAGACCATTTAAGAACATGACACGAGTTTTCAGGTAGATATTTCAGGTTTAAGCTTCAGGTTTCATAGCAATTTGCGGTGTTAGTCGAAACTACCTCTGGCGCAGCATATTCTGTGTTCAATTTCGCTTTTCTTTTCTCCAAATATTTAATTTGTTATACACCGAGATGTCTGAATGTTTAGTATTTACTAGTTCAATTGACTAACTCAATACTTCGTCATTCCCATGTTGCCCATTTAGTTTAGTCAGTTTCGGACATTAGTAGAGTTTGCACGTGCAAATTTGCTGGCTTCTTGAGACTTAACGGAACGTTCGAAAGAGAGATATCTTATGAAGTGTGCAAAGTCAATTCTAATTGGTTTGGCAGTGTAACAAAATGTCGGTCAAAGCATTTGTAAAATGTCAATGTTCTTTTTTTCTTTGCGAATTCTACGAAACAATATTCGGTCTTGAATCTTTTTTTCTATTCAAATGTTTGATCGTTTGCATTTTTCAATGGATGGGTTTCAGAAAAAGTAGCGTAACCTGTATACATATTTTACGTTTGCTTTCTTACCTTTGTTTAAATGAAAAAAAATACATAATTTGTTGAAAGTATTGTTTCAATGTTAGAACTAATAAACAAAAATCATACCAGTTTTGACAAATGATGCAAGTTGATATGACTTGTGTTATAGTGCACTCAAAAGTGAGTTTTTAAAATGCAGTTTAGTTTTAAAACTAAACGTTCCATAATTCCAGGCAAAAACAGAAGCATTTGGCCAACCCAAATGCTACTAAAAAAATTCCGAAAGTAAATAGTGACGCAGTGCTTTCTGAAATTTTCTGCTTCCATCCTAAGTAAACATATCAACATACTGTAATACGTACTGGTGACAAGTACATTTAAATAAAGACAGCCAGTCAAAACAAAATAACTCCAACTATTTTAAAAAATATTCTAAACAATCTAGAGTTGTGTCTGTTTAATAATATTATGGGTTATTTTTTGTAGTTCTTTATGGGTATAATTTAGTCCTTTTTATGCATTATTTAGTAATCCTTTCTAGATAATATTTAGTAGTTCTTTTATGCATTATTTAATTGTCCTTTATATACATTATTTCGTTGTCCTTTGTGGGTATTATTTATTAGTCTATATATATGTTAATTAGTTTTTCATTAATTTCTTGTGAAATGAAAAGTTTTAACCAATTTGCATAAAGAAAGGTTATCAGATGAATTATTTTCTATACTTGTTCGGTCTCTAGTTTTAAATTTGTAATTGGTAAAATAAAAATTCAAACTTCTATATTGTTAAAAGAGAAGCACCCCATCAGCAGGCTTCAAGATAAATTGTGAGTGTACAATAAAATTCAGAAAGCTTGTGTCTGTCTGCATAGGTTGACTTTTACTGTTTCAGTCGACCGTAATAAGTAGAGAAGAAGAAAAACAAAGAGCCAATGGGTTTGATTGGGATGTAAAGGTGTTCAAAGAGGAAGTGAGGTATTTGGTTGGAAGCCATAGGCTAGTGGCTTTGGACCAAGTCACCTTGTTGCAGCTTTCTGGAGCAGGTAATCTGTTGCCGTTGGTTCTCGCGAGATTAACGCGTTGGCATATTCGGCTGCGTTTGAAAGTATTGGAATCAGGGGAGACAGACAAAGTTAAAGAAAGAGGTCGCGACAGAGAGAGAGAGATGGGGGGGAGAGAAGGGAGTATTTAAAGAAGGAGAGGATACAGGATTTTGGAGTGTGTGCAGTTGTAAATTTTGATCGATTGCGTGATGGTAACGCTTGGTTGGTTCTGAAGGGAAAATTGATTTCCAAAGAAAGGAAAGAAGAAAAGAAGAGGAAAGGAAGAAAAAGAGAATAGACCGAAGAAAGGAAAAAAGGAGTTGTTTAATAATAAAGAGAAGTATGTGAATATACTTGAAAAAACAAAGAAAGAAAAAAGAGCGAAAGAAAAGAAGTGATAGGAAAGAAAGAAGAAGAAAGCATAGAAGAAAAGGAAAAAATGAGGAAAGAAAAGGCGTGAAAAAGGAAAAGGAATGAAAAAGGAAGATATGAAAACAAATAGGAAAGGAAAGAAAAAGTGTGAAAAATGCAAAAAGGAAAAGGAAGAGACGCGTGAAAAAGAAAATATCAGGAAAAAGAAAAAGAAGTGAAAGCAAAACTAGGAAAAAGGAAACAAAAAAAAAGAAAAATGCGAAAAACTAAAAAGAAACAAAAATTGTTAAAAAGAAAGAAACAAAGAGGAAAAAAAAGAAATAAAAATACGTGAAAAAAGGACACAAAAGAAAAATGCAGAAGGACAAGAGAAAATGAAAACCGGTTAAGAAAATAGAAGGAATGAAGAAAGAGAAAGAAAATAGAAAAAGTAAACGGAAAGAAAAAAACGAAGAAAAGAAATAAAAAGAAAATAATAACATGTGAGAAGGAGAAAGTAAGAAAGGAAGAAAGCAAACATAATCTGACTATTTATTCTGATTAAATCTTTGTATTTGATTCTTCAACGAATGACATCTTGCCAATAACGAAACTTGCAATTTGCTTGAGGCTTTTAGCATTATTATCATTCACCAGCTCCTATACCACCGACAACCATCATCGTATATATAGCCTCTGCCATGACTATTATCAGGAGGTGTGCATTGCTTAACATGGCAACACGGAATTTGGAATTGGCAAGCAGAGTTCAAATTCTAGCTTTGAAAGTCTGTGTTCCCTTCGCACCAATGTCCATTGAATCTCTTTTCCCCCGTCTTCATTTATGAGTAAACATACACAGAAGACTGAACTCTCATGCCTCAGTTGGCAACCAGTTTAGAAGAATTTAGAATTCAAAAACAAACATGGAAGTATTTAAAATGATCTTTGGAAAGGCATGAATCTAATGCTCGCTCTAATTATGGGCAAGGGGCAACAAATTGTGGGCATGGGGCTAGCAACCCCCGCAATATGAAAGAACCTACCTACTACTGAAACTGCGGCAACATTACTGGCGTGGCGTAGTTGCAATTTGAAAAAAAAGAGTCGACAACAATGAATAAAGAGCAACAAATTACCACGACGATTAATGCACCGATCATTAACTATTGATATTTCATTCAGATATTCTTCCCTTTCAAACAATTTTAGCTTATGAACCGCACAGTGAGAGACAAACTCACTAGACATGACTTATGAGATCATCGTAACAGTTATCGTTTCACGGCATTCACCGGTACAATATTAAGCACAATTAAAGATACGAGAACAAATATTATAATTTTCAACATTCTCCTCCTATATATATATATATATATATATATATATATATATACTCGACTCTCCCGTCGAATTCGACGTATGAGGGTCAAGTAGATCAGTTCCTAGGAAACTGACAGCCCGACGCCAGCACATTATAGTGGTGAAGGCTTTGTGCAGAACCATCCACACTTTTTGAAGAGTCGAATACAGAGACTTGATGCACTAAGTGCCACGGGGTCCCTAAATGACCCTTCGCAGGTTTTGAATTCGGATTTGTCCCTCTCCTAGACCAGAGGACAGACTGGCTTCTATAGCCTTGAATGGCTATAGAACCCAGTCTCTTTACCCATAGCTGGAGGGAGGATTCACACCTTTCCCAAGTGTATTAGCACGTAAGTGAATGTAATGAACTCGACTGGAATTCGAACTCGGCTCTCCGTGATTTTATAACATATTTATGTTATAATTTTTAAAATAAATGTTTATATATAGACTGTTTTGCAGCTCATCAATGTGGCTAGATATCCGATTGGTTCAAGCCGGGGTCGAAACTCGACCGATTTGGCATCAGTCAGAGACTCTACGCCTAACCCATCGGCGCACGGCGCTGATACGGAGTCTTTTAATTTATTATATACATGATACATATAAACGCTAAATCAGCAGCCAGAACGCTCAATTCATACGAAGACCTATGCGTTTAAGCAGCAACTACTGTTAAAAGTTCCCGAGGCAACAGTCTATTTCATGCTAAACACACACATAAGGCCTGAGATTGCGTTTTGCATAAAACATTCTGTCGCCTCTGGGTGTTGACTTCAATGTTCACTTATATATATATATATATATATATATATATATATATATATATATGATAAACCGTTGGGATAATACAATAGACTCATAATGCGCCATTGACCAGCATATATAAATAGTTGAGCCAAAAACATAAATGGCCTGAATATTATGTTCAAGCATGAAAAAGACTGTTACCGGTCAGTGTTGACCTCAGTGTCCACTTTCATATTTACATCCACTCTGTCTATGATATTGAGCACTTTTAACCATAATATAGCATACCTGAAAACTATATATATAAATATACACACACACACACGCATCCACAGATCATCAGTGTGGATGGGCAAGCGATTGTTTCAAGCCAGAATCGAAACCCGGCCTATTTGTCATCAGTCGGAAACTCTCACCCCCAGGCTATCAGTTCACTCAGCGGATTGCGGAACATATCAACATTATATATATAATTATAATAGCCGTAAAAATGACGGGATAATTTCCGTATAGATCGGCACTTCTTTCTAGAATAAGAGTATCTTTGCATATTGCTTAGGATTAAAATGTCGCTCATCAACACTCTGTTTAAGATTAGTGGTGTATTTGTATGGTCTTCCAAGTTTTTACATGTCTAATAATATATCCATATGGATGTACATTGAGTTAGAAATGTACAAGTTGAAGCTATATATATATATATATATATATATATATATATATATATATATATATATATATATAAGTTATGAAAACTTGGTAATCCGTATGGGTAGTCCCAAGGAAGATGAAATCCTGAGAGCTCAATGTAAATCCAGAGCTAATATTAAAATATAATATTTTATTATAATAATTTATTATAATAATTTATTTCACCAGAGCCCTTTTAAAGGACGCCGGATTATCCAAACGTTTCATATTTTGGAAGTGCTATCTGATGATCCGGCATCATTTAAAAGGGCTCTGGTGAAATAAATTATTATAATGGAACCTTAAAGTGGTATGTTTTTCTTTAATATATATATATATATATATATATATATATATATATATATATGAAGAGTTCGTCTACATAGGTTAAGAGGTCAAAACTTGGATCACAGCTGGTTAGAATGATAATAAAAACATTATTTTAATTTCTGAAAAATAGTCCAATTTCTTAACTGGGACTACTTTTTTTTATAATTTCTTTTACTAATTTTAAACAATTTTTATGGCAATATAAAAAAAAATGGAACATATAATCAAGAATTGTCGATTTTTTTTTTGTTAGTCATGAAAAAAATGCCATTATTTATGTCCGTCAATGTTTATTTTCAACGACACTAGTAATGGGTGTTTGCGGTGTTTTTGTTTGCAATAACTGCATAACGATATGTGCAGTAGTTAAGAGTCTAAGTAAAAGCAAAACAGACTTAATTGATTTAAAAATACCCTGGAAATAGGAAATATATTTTAGAGACAAATCGTTCTATGAATTTGCTTTTACAAGGCACACAAATATTTCACTTAATTATAAGAGAAAAATTTCACTTAATCAGAAGAGCGAAATTATAGCCTTACATTGAACAGTTTCGAACGGTAATTATTATTATAAAAGATCCTTCCGCATACTATGAATGAATCAGAGTGTAACTTTCCCCATGTGAAACGAAAAATGTTCTTACGTCAAAACCTTGTTTCTGGATCCTACAAGTACGCGTAGTAAATTTGAGGACATTATATGAAACTGTTTTATCCTAACAAAGTTTTTATCAGATGATGGCATTAGAGTGAAGCAAGGTTTCGAAACTGAACATCAAACACTCCAACAGTGTACAGGTTGCGATGGGTAAATTGTCGCCATTTTATATTTTTAATTTCACGCATACACATTGCTTGTTTTTGATTTTGTCGACTTCACAGTATAGCAGGGTCAGTTGGGCTCCGTCTGTAAGAAAAAGAGGACCATGATGTAATTCACTCCGCCAGAAATTTGGAAACGGCATGCTGTATTGCTTGGCATTCACGCCGGAAGCTTCAATACGAACATTTCAGAGTGTTTGCGTGTCAATCTGAGGAAAGTGCAGAGGATTCGGAAAGAGTTGGATGATATATCCGGTCAACATCATGGTGTTTGGAGTGATCATTGGTGATGGCGACGTTATGCCTCCATTCATCTTCCCACAGGGACTCAGACTCAACACGGAGGCCTATATTAAATGCCTTGAGGAGGTAGTGCTGCCCTGGGTCAAGATGGTGGCTGCCGGAAGACCCTATGTCTGACAACAGAACTCTGCACCACGCCACACAAGCAGGAGAAGTCAGTCATGGTTGTCAGACAATTTCTGCGACCATATCACCCCTTACATATGGCCACATAACTCCCCAGACTGCGATCCCTTGTTTATTTTGTGTGAGGCGCACTTGTACTAGAGACCCACAAAATTCCTTGTAACAACAAAGATGAACTGAAGGCAAGGATTATGGCAGCATTCACCAACTTATACAGGAGACCAAAGAGAAATGCAGGAGATTCAGAAGTCATCTGGAGGTCATGGTTGAAGCCGATGACGATTTTATTGAATAAATTTACTCTTTAGTATTTCAAGATATTTTTGCGTGATTTTGGTGAATATATCTGTTAAAATGAGATGCCAGTGTTATTTTCACTTTAGCGTCATTTAGACGACAATTTATCCATCGCACCCTATATTTAGGCGAATTCTACACTACTTGTAACAAAAGTCACTTTTCTTTCCGTCCATATGTACACACCTTAATTCAAGTTTTATATGCAGAAAAATTGGCTTCATCAATATATCCGGCCTTTAGCCAAAACTTCCCGAATACACTTTATCAACATTCATTTTGCCAAGAGTTTATCATTTAATCATATCAACCAGTCTGAAAGGCAAAATTTTAGCCTAAATTTCCAATTGGTCCTTCTTGCTTTGCAGACATCCTGTTCGACAATTCACATGTAAGATAATTTTGCATTTTTCTCCTATTTCACTCATCAGGCTACTAAAGGGACTTCAAGGAATTTGTTTTGATATCTGATTCTTCAATACTGTCTTTACATATAAACAGTTCCTTTTGGTAGAAATATCTAAATTTTTACTGTCATTGTAATAAATTCTGTTCATACACCTGGACTCATTCGTTTCTCTTATAATGATGTGGTTTCAAGAATTTGGCATGGATTTGGTTCTGTAATATTTACTTCTTTATCCAACCCTATTCTTTTATATGTTATGTCTTTTCAAGATGTATACGATCATGACCCTTCATAACTTCCTATCCTTTGTAGCCATTAGCAATATTTATCACTTCACTAGCCCTCCCACTCCCTGTTTTGGTATCCATTTGAACATACTGGTTAAGTAGGTTATTCGTTGTTTCCCTGTGCCTCTCTTGCCTTTAATGTCCTGTAAATGTCAAATTATC